CCCCCCAACTCACCAGCCAGCAGGAGCTCCTCTCCTCCTCCTCCTCTTTGGCCGTTCGTCCAGTCCCTGACAGGCACATGGGTTTGCTTGTCCTGCTTCCTCAAGGGCGATCGGGCAAGGAGGCAGGGCAGGAAAGTCCATGCTCCTGTTGGAGGTTCGTGCCCATTTCTAGCTGAAGACACCATCGAGGGGAGGTGCTGGAGGGGATTTATTCCCCCCCCCGGTCATCCTGAGAAATCTCTCTCTTCTGAAGAAGATTATCTCTTTGCTAGCACTGCCAATCTAAACACCAGTTTCTAAGGAGGGATTTTTTTCTCAACCCTGTAGCAAAGAAACATTACATTCTCTTCTCATGTCTCCTCTCTGTATTCATCAGCCCCTTTCCAATCAAAAACTAAACAAAGATAAACCATCACCTATCTGGAGTGGAAGACGCAAAAAAAGAGGATTAACATCACTGTCTAGTTTGGTTCTTCAACCTCTTTGAGTTTGGTTTTTAGGTCTGTTCAAGATGGAGCTCTTTGTCCATCCCTCTTCTTTTTATCAGGATCCGTGTCCAAAGTTTTGTCCAGAAACTCACTTCTCTCTTGAAGGGCTCTTTACGAAATCTTTAAGAAATCCACCAGAGTTTTCTTGGTTCATTCGTTTGTTTTTACGGTTGAGTGCTAAATTTTCGACTCGAAGCTGCAAAAAAGGGAAGCTCTAAACGACACTCTGTTACCAAGCTGTAGTAAAAATAAGTGATGGTTTCAGAAGGAATGGAAAATCATGGGGGAAAGCACGGTATATAATCAGATAAGGAGAACGTTGTGCGGATGGTGGGGGAAATATAGATAACATTAAAGCAGAAGCCAGAAATTTCAGAACAAACACTCCATCTGGAAGTTTTAGCTTCATAGTTGCCCAGTGTTTTAGTTTCTCGTTTTCACGAATAGAAGGATTGTTTTAGGATTCTAATGCAAAAGGGTTCTAAGACTCTTGCTTGCAAAAAAGACCTATGAACCATTTTATGGGGATGGCCTACATTTAGACTTTATACATAGGTGAGTACATCTATACATAGATGAGAGGGGGGTGGTTTGAACATTGTTTATTTCAGGACATTTCTGGGTATATTTATTTGCCAATTTTTGTGGGGGTTTTGTGATTTATCAGGATGGTTGTTGTCATCGGTTTTACACACACACACACACACACACACACAGAGTTCTGCTGAACAGTCTACTGATGTAGTCCATTTTTCATATTATAAAGTTTAAGACCCTGAAGCATTCCTTCATGTATTTGCAGATAGGTGCAAGTTCATGTTCTGAAGAATTTAGTTCTGGGTAAGATCTCAGGGGAATCATGAAATTTCTAGTTTCAACTGTTTGAAATCATCTTCAAAGGTTCCTCTCTCCATCCTACCTCAAAATGTGAAAACCAGGCAGGCAGGCAGGTTGGAGGGGGACCCTCTGGGAAATGACACGGTGATAGCGACAGCCCTTAGAAAATTATTCTTTGTTTGTTTGTTTGTTTTGAAGTACAGCTCCAGGTATACTGCAGCCAGCATGACTACAAGCCATTTTGACTGGGGAATACTTGAAGTTGTCGTTAAACACACACACACACACACACAAAACATCAAAACCCAACATTTTTTTTTCCATCTCTAGATGTCGAAACTCCCTCCTGGCTAAGATTCCCCCAGGCTCCTTCCTTATGTCTTTTGGCAGATGGTAAATTAATAAATACCTTTTAATTCAAGTGATATTTTAATTAGCAACCGGCTGTTTTAATGACATATCCCCTAGAGTTTTCAGTACTGCTGTCTTTTGAAGTCTTAAATGTTGTCGCTTGTTTGCCCTGATTGCAGTATTCATTGTTTGGTTTTGCCATGTTGTTGCGTTTTTCTCTTTTTCGATAAGCTACTTTGGTTATTTTTCATAGAAAAGTGGGATGCGAGTAATAAACTAAAAGTACCATTGACCCATGTCTTTTCAAAATACAGTCCCGATGAATTTGGTGGTGGTGGTGGGGAATCATCCTTCCCAGGTAAGTGTGTAAGCCTTCCCGAGGTTTTGAGATTCAGACCTCAAAGGCACAGTCGGCAGCAAGGATCCGAGAAACGAATTCTCAAATTAGAGAAACTAGGGTTATTCCCAGGAAAGTCTGGAGAGGCAAGGATTCCTGTCCTGTAGTGTATGCAAGATTGCAACCAACCTCCTTCAGATACATCATGAATCTGATCACGTAGGTTCGTTGCTTCACGGATACAGTGGCCGGAATCCTTCTGTTGTTTACCTTGCTGCAGTGAATTGCAACTAATTGATGGGGTGCCACACAACAGAGATGTGACATGACCAGTTATGTACTTGGTTGTGCAACCAAGATGAGCTGTGACAAGATACACAAACCTTATGTGAATACTGATAGGATTCTGGCCAATGCAACAGACTAAGGGAAGCATAAACGAATTGCTGGATAGCTCAGTGGTTTAGACCACTGAGATTTGAGAGTTCGATTCCCCCACTGTGCCTCCTTGACAGGGGCTGGACTTGACAATTCATAGGGTCCCTTCTGGTGCTGCACTCCTAAAATGATGATGATCCATTCCATTCCATACTATTCTTGGCTGGACTTGACAATTCATAGGGTCCCTTCCGGTGCTGCACTCCTAAAATGATGATGATGAAATCAGGTGATTCCATCCATTCCATACTATTCTTGCATTTTTGTTGTTAATAAGTCAGAAACGACTCAGAGCAACCCTAGTAGGGCTTTCAAGGTAAGTAAGATATTTAAGAAGCGGTTTTACAAGTTCCCCCCTTCCTACCCCTGGGGAGTTTCCATGACCAAGTTAGAATTCGAACCCAGGCCTCCTGAGTCTTAGCCTGTCATTCCATCCACTTTATCTCACTGGGTATTTCTGCATTAACTCGTCAGTTTTTTTTAAAAAAGGTCTGTAGGAACATTTCTATTTGAATACATATTTTGGAACATATTTTCTTTCTAAATACGCATTTCCATTGTAATAAGTTATTTTTGAGCTGAAAACTGGCCTTAGAGAACAGTGACGCTCAGTGGAAAGCTTCTTTCTAACCAGTATACGAAGGGGGCCACTGAATTCCATTTATTTTAGAATTTTAACCGTCCACTTAGACAAATGTCAGTCTAGCTCAAAGATACAGTTATCCTATGGAACTTTTTTTCTTTAAATTAACTGGATGACAAACGAACAAACACATAGATGTTCAAATAGTGTTTTTTTTTTTTAAAAATAATTTCAA